TAAATATTTTAATATTTACCTTAAATTTGAATCAATGTTTACAATTTTTATCCTTGAATAAACTTTCACTTGAAAAATCGTTCATGAAAATACTTATTATAAGTGATGTATTTAATGTTTTATGTACTCAAAATTAAGATTTTCAAAAAAAAATTCTCTAATTTTCTCTCCTAAGATCATATATAGTGTTAGTTATAAATATTTACATAAATATATCAAATATAGATGCCAGCAAAAGAAAATTACATATGTGCTTTGGATACGATAATGTTTCAATATAATAAAAAGAGAGATTTTAGGCTTGCAAAATTAGTTTACAAAATAAATAAAATCTTTTACAAAATTTTCCTAAATCAAATCTTTATGAATTTTCGGGTCTTATATTTCAAACAGTTGTTTTTATAAATGACATCTAAATTAATAATTTATCAACTGGAGCATGGCTTACAATACATTATATTTATTGTACTAAAATTTATTAACCATCAAGCCATCTTAGCTCAGAGGCATAGCGCGTGGCTTTTGACCACGTTGTCGTGGGTTCGATCCCCACAGACGGCGAATTAAGCTTGCAATAGTAATTTTTATGTTTTTTTATATAGTTTTATTATTTATTTTTCATTTATACTTTGATATGATTTTATTATAAAATATCATAAATTTATATTAATTAATATCTATAGAATTTTTTAAAATATATCAAAATTTAAAATTGGAATAATGAAATTTAATAATATATTATATATTAAATATGGGTTGTTCTAATAAAAAAAACTATTTCATGCCATGTTATTTCAATTATTTATTATTTATTAATATTAAATAATTTTTATAATAAAAGTTATTTACTATCAATAATATAGAATAAATTAAATGTATTGTAATTAGTTGAGTGAGCCAACCGATAGCCGCTCTTGACAGAATAAACTCCCCGAATCCCACTACTCCATATGTGTCGATGGACTGAATTTATAGTAGGAGGAACAGCCAATATGAACATAGCATCCTCGTTATCAACATGAGCGGAAATTTTATCCTTATCCCAAGAACCAGTTGGTGTACAAAGAATACTCACACGACTATAAGAGGAAGGGACCGTCTCGATTGCACATGAAAAGACCCACCATTCGACACCCATTTATCAGCATAAATACGAATATTCTCACCACTTCTCACCCACCATCGGAGCCCGAGTCGGAGAAGATCATGACCCCAAACCAGGCTATGTCAAATGAACGACGCATTGCCACCCTCCTTAGAAATCACAATTACGGAAATATTTATACTTCAACATTCGGGACAGGAGAGAGAAAGAGTCACTAAAAATGCACCAGCACTGCTTCGCAAGCAAAGCTCAATTAAAATATTCTGTCACGGAAACCTAAACCGTCGAAATATTTGGGCAAACACAATCACTTCCGACTCTTGCAGTCCTCATACTCACCCCACCAAATATTTAATTATTTTTCATACCAATATTATTTTGCTTTATGTTATTAAACAATATAGTCATTTGTTGGGAAAATAGTTGGAGCCAAATCAATGAATGTAATTTGACCAAGAAACTTGAACAAAAAATCCCCAGCCTAAAACCTAAGTTTGCCATATATATACCTATTGGGATGCCTTCTTTGTTTGGTTTTTCTGGCCGTGAGTGATAGAAACCAAAAGAAAAAAAAAAATAGTGGCAGCTTGTGTTGGTGCACAAAAAGAACGGCAAAGAAGAAAAAGAAGAAGATTGGGTTGTAGTGTGTTGTCGGTAACCCATTCTCTTGAGGTTAGTGAGGTTTTTCATTCCATATTCCTAAGTAGCTATTGTCGTAGTGCTTAGAAGCTAAGTGGACATTGTTGTAGCATCTAGAGATCTTTGTAGAACGTTTGTGAGGTTCATTGTATTTATCCCAATATCATAGTAGAACTCGTTGTCGCAGAAGACTGAACGTAGCTCATAGTTGAAGTGAACCAGTATAAAATTGCTTGTGTCGTTTCTATACTTTCCCTATTTTTCTTAGTATTGTGTATGACTTAGTTTTTACTGACGAACTGTAGAAGCGAAAAATATTAATAGTGAGTAAATTTTCCCAACACCATTATATATTTAACCACACCTAAACATTATAAGCATTTTACGTTTTGCATTGTTGCAAATATACCTCATATTCATATTTTTGTTCTGAGATCCTTATTGTTTTTGTTTCTTTTGAAAAATACCTTCAATATTCATCTACCAATGTTATTTATGATAGACAATGAAACGAGAGAGATAATTACATATATTATAATAATTATTACTATATTCATTGACGATTTTTTCTGTAAAAATTGTAACATTAATTCAAAAGTTTAAGATAAATATAGTAATATTTATTCAATTTTAAAATGTAATTTGATCGGATCAAAAGTTACCTTTATCAAGTTGAATGTAAAAAAAAAATGATAGTTTTTTTTTTTTAAAAAAATCCACTTAATTTGTAATTTAAATTTCATTTCAAATTCATTCAAATTCAATTTACCCATGAGCGTTAGAGATATATTATTTCCTAATCAAACTGAGTTGATGCATTGGTGATCAAGCCGTGTTGGAGAGTGATGGTAGAATTAGTAATTTTGAAAAAATAGATCTAAGTATAATTGATTTTCTAAAATCACCATACAAATAATTCTTTAAAAATCAATTTAAAATGATTTAGGGTGCGTTTGAGATTAATTTTCGGTGGCCAAAATTATTTTTGCTATTGTCAAAATCACTCTCCTTTCCATTTATCATGTTTCACAAATTAAAATTTTGATTTTAATTAGAAATCTTAAAATCACTTTAGATTGATATTTGGATGATGATTTTAAAAAATCAATTATACTTAAATTTATTTTTTTTCAAAATCACGCATCCTATCATCCCTTCCAAGCACACCCTTAATCTTTTTTTAAAACCAATTTTTTTATTTGCCGAACATGATCAATAAAAAAGGGAGTAACTTTAATAATGACAAAAATGATTTTAACCCTTTAAAATCACTCTCAAACACATCTTAGAGCTCGTTTGGTTGAAGAGGGGTGGGAACCGACTTAGACGTATGTATAGGGTAAATCCACCGCCAGCAACGTAAAAAGTTTGTGTTTGGTTGGAGGTTTGAAATGATTTATCTGAGAAAACACATTTAACGTTAGGTGGCAGGCTTTTTTTACCCTCTTAAAAATCGAGGTTTCTTATAGCATTTTTTAGGGAAATTGGGGTTTTTGACCCCACCAATAGTTCAAATTGGATAAATGAACCCCTTTCAAAAAAACCTAATTTTTGACCCCACCTCTACTTAATT